CCCAGCCTGTGACTGAGCATTTCTATCTCTGGCACACAACCCCATTTGGAGTCTCCACACCCAGCCAATTCCTGCGGTGCGCTCCTGCACCTCTCCTCCCAGGGGAGGAAGGGGAGTCTCCCCGGATCTGCCTCTTGTTGCGTCCCTGCTGGAAGAGCAGTGGCTAGACTGTGCCGGGGATCACAGTTTATGTCAACCCCGAGCTGAGAACCCGCCCTCGGCTCCGTCTCTGCAGCCGGCTTCCCCACTCTGATACCTGGGAGCTCTGCCACACTCAGGCACCCCTGGTCTTTCTGTGACCCTGAGGGTCCTGAGACCACACTGTCCCAGTGAGGGTTCCACCCCCCCACTTAGCCACTGGAGCGACATCCCTCAGCGGAATAGACTTCTAAAAGTTCTGATTTTGTGCTCCGGGGCTCTATCACTTGCCAGTAGCGGCTGACAGAGGTTCCCTACCCCCGCGGTCTATCTTCCTGAATATCGCCTCGGATTCACTGCTCCGCACGTCCTACCTTCCAGAAAGTGGTCACTTTTCTGTTCAGAGAGTTGCTGCTATTCTCTTCTTCAATCTCCTGTTGAGTTCGTAGGTGTTCAGAATGGTTTGATCGATATCTAGCTGAATTCCTGGGACCAGACGAAATTTAGGTCTCCTACTCCTCCGCCATCTTGCTCCTCCTCTAAAAGCCTTTTCTATATCACTACAAGGTTTTTTAAAGTGTTCATCCCTATAGTGTTTTATTGTGCTTTTAGGGTTTCATTGTTTATATTTAAATCTTTCCTTTATCAACAATTTATTTTAGAATAAAGTTTAAACTTTAAAAATTATCCCTTCTATATTTATTATTTACAATGATTAAGAAATTGGGCCAATTTTCAAATGCAGTATATAGGTTACTTTAGGATCATATCTTTAAAGTGTTAAATGTTAAAACAGTAAAGATTCTGCCAAATTGATGTGGATTTAAAAACAAAGAATATCAGGAGGGTTGAGATTTTGTTAAGAATGTGTTTTAAGGGCACCTGGGTGGCTCAGTCGGTTGAGCATCTGCCTTCGACTCAGTTCATGATCCCAGGGTCCTGGGATCAAGTCCCGCATCGGACTTCTTACTCAGTAGGGAGCCTGCTTCTCTCTCTCCCTCTGCCTGCTCCCCCTGCTTGTGCTCTCTCTCTCTGTCAAATAAATAAATAAATAAAATATTTTTTAAAAAAAGAATGTGTTTTAAACAGTGAACACAAATGAAATTTTTGGAATATGGTAGTGTTCTATATCCTTATAGGGTTGGTGTGTACACCATTATATTTGTCAAAATTCGCTGAACTCTACACCTAAAAGGGTGAATTTTACTGTATGCAAGCTATACACCCAATTTTAAAAAAAGAAAAGAAATTTGGCTATGTGAGTATGATGAGAAGCAGTCTTTGCTGCTTGCAATACAGAAGGAGAAAGGTAAAGCAGGACACTCATTCCTCTTAGTTACATTTGGACACAACAGAACACCATCATATGGCCCCCTCTTCCATCAGCAGTTGGTTAGTCTGGTAGATCCTAAACTATTAACTGAAAGCTGTCTCCCCAGTAAGTATACTGGGGGACTGTTGGGAAGCTGAATTAGCCAGTCCTTTAAAAATATATGTAGTATCAAAAATAAAATAAAATATATTAGTACCAATGTGTGCCCTATGTATAACTTCTTGAGTCATCAATTTATAAGTCAGAATGTATTTCTAGGTAACTGTGTTCTAAGGCAGTGTTTACCAACTATTAGTCTACTTCTTTCAACAAACTGACTTATTTATTTATTTATTTTTAAAGATTTTATTTATTTGAAAGAGAGAGAGCAGGAGCAGGGGAGAGGGGCAGAGGGAAAAGGAGAAGCAAACTTCCCACTGAGCAGGGAGCCTGATGCAGGGCTGGATCCCCAGGACCCCAAGATCATGACCTGAGCCAACGGGCACGCCACCCACGTGCCCCCAAAATGACTCTTTTGGATGAAGTACTCTATTTTAGTTTATTTTCTAGTTCTCTCTATATCATTTCCAAAAATTTGGATGGGAATTAAAAATTTTGAATAATAACAAAGATTTTTTTAAGAATAAAAAAGAATTCATGTCAAATATTTAGAGTATTCTTCAATAAATAAATTGAAAGAAAAAGATGAATTTTTTTAATTTAAAGGAATTATTATTATTACTTTTTAAAGATTTTATTTATTTATTTGACAGCAAGAGACACACACAGCAAGAGACGGAACGCAAGCAGGGTGAGTGGGAGAGGGAGAAACAGGCTTCCCGTGGAGCAGGGAGCCTGATGCGGGGCTTGATCCCAGGACGCTGGGACTGTGACCTGAGCTGTAGGAAGACGCTTAATGACTGAGCCACCCAGGCGCCCCAATTTAAAGGAATTACTAACCAATTATAATGTGTGGCCTTTACTGGATCCTGATTCAAACACGTTTGTTAAATTTGTGAAAGAATTGGAAATGTGGATATGTACTGGATATATAAGAAATTGTTAAATTTCCTTAACCACATGTGGAGTTTAGGTTTAAAAAGAGTTCTTATCTTGTAATTTAACTATAAAGTAAAATAATGAGCAATATTAAAAAAGAGTTCTTATCTTTTAGAGATATATAGTGAAATATTTATAGATGAGCGATATGGTTTTTGGGATTTGCCTTATAAAGGCCCCTACGTAATACCGACACAAAAATTAACTCAAAATGGACTACAAAGCTAAATGTAAGAGTTAAAACTATAACCATCTCAGAAGAAAACATAGTAAATCTTCATGATCTTGGATTAGGCAATGAAATGTTAGTTCAGAACCAAAAGCAAAGGTGGTAAGAAATCCAAGATCGTCTCCAAGAATCCCACTTGGTGAACACATACCTTTTCCCAGTTATTCAATCAAAAACAATATAGATGCTCCTGTGAAGAGCCTTTACAGATGTAGTTAAGGCCCCAAATCAGTTGCCTTTAAGAAAGAAAGATTATCCTGGGTGAGACTGACCTGATCAGATGAGCCCTTAAAAGGGGTTAGTCTTTTCCTGGTGAAAGATATTCAAAGTGTGAGAAGGATTCAACGTGAGGGAAATTCTCCTTTGCTGACTTTGAAGATGGAAGACACCATGTGACAAAGAATGTTGGTTGCTTCTAAAAGCTGATAGAGCTCCCTGGCTAACAGTTAGCAAGAAGATGGGGACTTCAATCCTACAACCATGGGACCAAATTCAGCCCATAACCTTAATGAGCTTGGAAATGGATTCTTTCCTGAAGCTTCAGAGAGGAACACACCCAGCTCACACCTTGATTTTAGCCTCCTAAGACTCTTATCAGAAAACCCGGCCACACCTTCCTGGACTTCTGATCTACAAAACTGTTAGCTGATAGATGGATGTTGTTTTAAGTCACTAAGTTTGTGGTGATTTGCTATACAGCATTAAAAAATGATTTAAGGGCGCCTGGGTGGCTCAGTCATTAAGCGTCTGCCTTCGGCTCAGGTCATGATCCCAGGGTCCTGGGATGGAGCCCCGCATCGGGCTCCCTGCTCTGCGGGAAGGCTGCTTCTCCCTCTTCCACTCCCCCTGCTTGTGTTCCCTCTCTCGCTGTGTCTCTCTCTCTAATAAATAAATAAAATCTTTAAAAAAAAAAACTAAGTATTTAATATTTAAGGATGTAAATGCAACAAGATTGGCTATGGCTTGATAATTGTTAAAAGCTGGATGATAGATATAGGTATTTCCATAACTGTTCTATCTACTTTTATATATGTTTGAAACTTTCCATAATAAAAAAGTTCCAAAAAAATATCTCGGGTAACCACTAAAGGAATAGACTTGGGAAGTAAAACTGTCAAATAGAGAGGTCTCGGAAACTTAAAACCAACAGTTTCAGAAATATTACTAGTTTAAGAGTCATGATGGAGAGCTATGATTTTCAAATATCTGCATAAACATGACAGGAGAAGCTAACCTGGCAGCATGAATTAATGCATTTGGTGGTCTCTGATATATTTGAGTTTGGTATATGATATATTTGGCTGTATGTGTTATTGTAAATATAGGTTGTTTTTTTTTTTTTAAGTGGAAATCAAATGTTTGCAGAACTTCTCAATTACCTTCAGTAATTTAAGCCTCCATAAAAAATTTATTCTGTAAAATACTGAGCTGTCTAAGGACTTCCTGGTTTGGCCCTTGCCTATCTATCCAGCTTCATATCCCACATTTCCTGTATATGATCACATAATCAGGAATAATGATAAGGTGCAGTAGGAACATTAAGAGAAGGAGTCTGGAGAAGTTTCCTGGAGGTGACATTTATGCAGAAACTGAAAGGACAATCAGCAGAAAGGGAGTATTCCAAAGAAAGAGAATCATTTTAAATTTGATCATTACACTAACCATTTGCTCCTTAGTGGCCAGGAACTTTACGACACTGCAGACCTGTCCTGGGAGGAAGAGGAGGAGGAGGAGGAGGAGGAAGGTGACAGCGGTGAGGTTGACGACGACGACAACGACGATGACGTAGATGTGTCCCTAGAGGAGGAGACCCCTCTTAAACAAGTCAAGAGGCTGGCGTCCCAGAAGCAGACAAGCGTTGCCAAGAAAAAAAAGGTGGAAAAGGAAGAGGAGGCCGTGAGACCCAGGCTTAAAGACAAGAGTCCTGTGAAAAAGGCCAAACCCACATTCAAACCTAAAAAGCCCGGATTCAAGAAATGAGGAGCCAGGAGTGGCCTGGCTGCAGGGACTGCGGGAGAGCCAGCTAGAGCACATGCGGGGTGGCCTTCCTCGGCGCGTTCCCCAGGTTCCCCCCACCCAGCCTCTCTCCACCTGAGTCTGAATGGGATGGAGCTGTTGGGGGCGACACAAGAGGCCCTCACCCCCAACTCTCGAGTTTCAGCAGGACCTGGAGGGAAAAGCTCCAACCTCGGGGCCACAATAAAGTTTGCTTTGTCAGGACAAAAAAAATATATATATATATATATTTTCTTTTTTCTTTAGATTCTGCCCTTGAGAAGGCTCAGCTAGAAATTGAGAAACTGAAAGAAAATTTGACAAAACTGAAAGAAAATGGTGAGTCATGCATGTCAGCAGATATAATATTTAATAATACATTAAACAATAACGTAAGTGTATTATACATGTTTTAACATAATATCTTTAATAATAATAATAAAGCACTATTGCCACTGTTATTACTTATTCCTACTACTATAACTACTACTACCACTTATTGCTTACTAAGTACTGGGTGCCTTATATGTATGTATTAACTCTAATCCTCACAACAATTCCAAGTAGTGAGTATTATTATTCCCATTTCATAAACAAAGAAGCTGAGTTATGGCAAGGTTAAGTGAGTTATCCAATAGCTACATTAAGTATTAATGAATTAAGTAATGTAGAGCTGGTATTTGAACCCATATATATCTGACTCTAAAACCTGTGGTCAACACAAATAATACATATCTTACCACTGAGATCAAGACACCTTATGATGAATTTAACAATACCTCACACAGATTTGTTCACCCAGAAGCCAACAGGCTTGGAATCCATGGTGAATTTGTTAATCTGACCCTAGTTTGACTATGTACAAATGTTACCAGCTATAAATAATACAATAAAATTTGAGTGTTATAATGATAGCAACTACAAAAATAATTAAAAACATGTTACCCATTTTATTTATTTATTTATTTATTTATTTATTTATTTATTTATTTATTTATTGTTATGTTAGTCACCATACAGTACTTCATTAGTTTTTGATATAGTGTTCCATGATTCATTGTTTGTGTGTAACACCCATTGCTCATTGCAATACGTGCCCTCCTTAATACCCACCACCCGGCTAACCCATCCCCCCACTTCTCTCCCCTCTGAAACCCTCAGTTTGTTTCCCGGAGTCCATAGCATGTTACCCATTTTAAATAATTCTAAAACTAGGTTTCCCAGTGATATTGTGATTTATAATAAGAAATATATATTTGGTCTTTGTCTCTGCTTCTTTTTTTAAAATTTTTATTGTAATTCAATTAATTAACATATAATGTTTTATTGGTTTCAGAGGTACAGGTCTGTGATTCATCAGTCTTATATATACCTAGTGCTCATTACATGCCCTCCTTAATGTCCATCATCCTGTTATCCCCATCTCTCCACCCCCACCCCTCCAACAACCCTCAGTTTGTTTCCTATGATTAAGAGTCTCTTATGGTTTGTCTCCCTCTCTAGTTGCGTCTTGTTTTATTTTTTCTTCACTTCCCCTATGATCCTCTGTTTTGTTTCTTAAATTCCACATATCAGTGAGATCATATGATAATTGTCTTTCTCTGATTGACTTATTTCGCTTAGCATATTACCTCTAGTTCCATCCACGTTGTTTCAAATGGCAAGATTTTATTTTCTGATGGCTGCATAATATTCCATTGTGTGTGTGTGTGTGTGTGTGTGTGTGTGTATACTACATCTTCTTTATCCATTCATTTGTCAATGTTGGCCCTGTTTCTGGCACGAAGCTTCTAAAACCCTTGAAATTTCCTGTGATGGGAGTGATAAAAACTGTCTTTTGTTATGTTAATGAGGACTTTTGGAAAGCCCCTAGGTTACCAGAGGCTGGAAGTGGACAGTGGCTAGAGATTGAGTTCAGTCAGCAATGGCCAGTGATTTTGTCAATCATGCCTATGAATGAAACCTTTATAAAAACCCAAAAAGATAGGGTCTGGAGAGCTTTCTGGGTTGGTGTGCACAGAGAGGATATGGAAGCTCCTGACCCTTCTACTTAATACCTTGCTCCATGCATCTCTCCCATCTGGCTATTCTTGAGTCATATCCTTTTATAATAAACTGGTAATCTAGTGAGTAAAATGTTTCTCTAAATTCTGTGAGCCACTCTAACAAATTAATCAAACGAAGATGGGGGTTGTGGCAACCTCTGATTTATAACCAGTCAGTCAGAAGCACAGGTAACAAGATGGGTTTGTCATTGGCATCTGAAGTGGTGGGCATTCTTGTGGGACTTAGCCCTTACCTGTGGAATCTGCTGCTGTCTCGAGCTAGATAGTGTCAAAATTGAGTTGAATTATAGGATACCTGGCTAGTGTCCAAGAATTGCCTGGATGTGTGGGGAAAAAAACCCACACATTGTAATTGGTGATCAAGATTGTTAACCCTCCTTTTCAAAAATACATGAATACAATTATAACATGAGCACTGCTTTCTTAGTAACTGATAAAACAAGAAAACAAAATCAGTAAGGATAAAGACTTAAGAATAGTACCAACCAACATGACCAAATTGATAATTATAGAAAACTCCACCAAATCACAGGTTCTTTTCAAGTACACATGGAACATTCACAAGGAGAGGCTGTACTGAGCCATAAAACAACTTTCTGTGGAAGAACTGAAATCACACAAATTGTGTTCTCTGACCATAATAGAATTAGACTAAGAATCAATAACAAAAGTATTTAGACAATCCCCCAATATTTGGAAGCCAAACAAGATATTTCTAAACTGCCATGCCTTCGGAGAAAAAAATCACAAGGCATATTAGAAAATATTTTCCATGAGTTAACTTGAATGAAAATGAAAAAAAAAACAACATATCGATATTTGGGGGGAAGTAACTAAATCCGTGCTTGGATAGGAATTTATACTATTTAATGCTTATACCAGAAATCAAGAAAGGACTCAAAGTGATCCAACCTTTCACCTTAAAAACCCAGAATAAGAAGAGCAAATTAATTCCAAAGCAAGTGAAATGAAAGGGGTATTAAAAATAAGAGTGGAAGTCAATAAAATTAAAGACAGAACCATAAGAGAGTAAATGATGGAACCAAGAGTGGTTCTTTGGAAGGATCAGTAACACTGGTAAACTTCTAATTAGACTGATCATGAAAAAAAGAAGACAACAAATCACCAATATAAGAAACGATAAAAAGAACATTTCTACAGACCAAAAAGATAATAAGGGAATATTTTGAACAACTTCATGCGACTATATTTAATGACCATTATGACATGAACACATTCCTTCAAAGACAAACTACCAAGCCTTACTCAAGAAGAAATCTGCCAAAGGAATTGAATTTGTAGTTAAAAATCTTCCCATGAAGAAAACTCTAGGCTCAGATGTCTAAAAAAATTTTAAGAATTAATAATACCAATTTTACATAAAGTCTTCCAGAAAATTGAAGAAGCCAAAATACTTTCCAACTTTTAAGAGATCTGCATTACCTTGATATCAAAACCAGATAAAGATATTACATTATCACTAATGACTATAGAAGAACTCGTAAAAGTACCGAGAGTAAGAAGTAACTTTTGGGGTAGCAAAATTAAGTTGTGTTGGGGCGCCTAGGTGGCTCAGTTGGTTAAGCGACTGCCTTCGGCTCAGGTCATGATCCTGGAGTCCCGGGATCGAGTCCCACATCGGGCTCCTTGCTCAGCGAGGAGTCTGCTTCTCCCTCTGACCCTCCCCACCTCATGCTTTCTCTCTCTCTCAAATAAATAAATAAAATCTTAAAAAAAAAACAACAACAAGTCATTATTTGGAGCACCAGGGTGGTGGAGTTGGTTGTGTCCCACTCTTGGTTTCAGCTCAGGCCTGACCTCAGGGTTGTGAGATTGAACCCTGCATTAGGCTCTGCACTTAGTGTGGAGTCTGCTTGGGTTTCTCTCTCCCTCTCTCTCTGGCCATCCCCCACACACTCTCTCTCTCTCTAAAATAAATAAATCAGTGTTTAAAACAAGCCATTATTCAAATGCATCTTTGAGATTTATGAAAATTGAAATTCTGGTAACATTCAGTGTGGAGAAATGGGCAGTGTCATTGCACAGAATGTAACTTTGTACAATCTTTTTAAAGAGTAATTTGGCAATATCTATTACATTTTCTAAATGCACATATCCTCTGATCCAGCTGTCCCATTTCTGGGGATTTATTTTTTGGAAATAATGTCATAAGTGCCTAAAGATTGATAAACAAGGATAATGATTTTAGAATTGTTTATAAGAGTAAAGCATTGGCAACACACCTGAATCTTCTTCAGTAGGGGAAAAGTGACACACATTATGGCACATTTGGACAATGGTGCACTGTGCAGAACAAAATGAGAGATTGGATGAAGACTGATATATTTATAAGTGGTATATGAATAAGATGGACTAAAGAATAGAGAGGAATAAATTATCAATATGACAGATGGAATCCCCAAAATATATATTGAGCAAAAGAAGCCGGACACAAAAAATATGTATATTAAGATTCCATTTGTAGGAAGAGCAAGAACCAGTAAAACTAACCTAAAAATAGTTCCAAATGAGAAATGGAAAGTGACTTTATAAGGGTTGTCCTGTAAAGACATCCATGACATACTCACAAGTGGTAAAGTTGCAGACAGATTATGTAGCATCGTTTAAATCTTTAAAAAAACTTCACAGGCCAAAAACCAAATGTCTCTGTCTCTGTCTCTCTCATTATATATCACATCCACTCGCACATACTGGGTGGGATTGTGAATGATTTTTTTTTCTTTTTGCTGTGTTTTCAACACTTTTCAAATTTAAAAAAAATTACATACTAAGGGAGAAAAGAAAATAGGAAGTGGAAAAAAGAAAAAATGAAGAAAGAAAAAACACAAGGAATAATTAATGAAGGCGATGAAGAAGGAAAACAAAGGAGACTTTAAAGCAGAAGAAAAATAAGAGAAATATGAGCAGAAGTAGCTCAAAAGGAACAGCCACAAATTCAGGAAAGTCTCAGGCAGCAAGTTTGCAATACTGAAACTGATGAGCGCTGGAAAGAGCAGGTCTTACCGTGAGGTGCTAAGCTCAGACTTACTACTATTTTATGGGCTGTGGTGCAGGCAGAAAGAAAGATGGTTTTGATGCATGAACTTTATTTAGCTAGGAAAATCTGTCCATTCACTGCTCATGGCTCACCATTTGTCATCCGTGGGGCCCTGCTGTTGCTGAGTAAAAGAAAAGTGTCTAGGAGTATATGTGGTGTGTAAGAGAGACAGGACCCCAAGCAAGATGGAAGATCATTTTCTCGGTTGTGTAACTTTTAGGAGGTAGGCTCCACTGCTTTGAAAGTACAATTCCTCGAAGAGCCTCTATTGCTGGAAATCCTATTCTCAAAATATCCAGCTCATTAGTCTGATGTGAGTAATAAAAAAATTCTGTTCTGTTTGGATAGGTTGGTAGAATATTCTAGGGCTGGACTTGAGAGTGTAGCAGCTCGCCTGTGCAGAGAATCACATATGTAGAGACATGGTAGGACTGATGAGAAGGCAGGAAATAGCACTTCCTTGGTTTTAAAGTTAGTCCCTCAAATTAAAACTTTGATCCAATTGAGCCAACTGTGTCTGTTCTCTCTTTTAGATTCTGTTGACCTACAGAAAGCAAGGGAACATAATCAGAGACTGGATGAGGAAATTCTGACTTTAAGAAATCGAGTTCAATCACTGGACTCAGAAAAAAAAGTGCTTGAAGAAGTGGTAAGTTGTTTAGTATAATTTGTTCTTAGAATTTATTTAAATGTGTATAAAATAACAACTAGAGCATTATATACATACTAGTGAGGACCGATCCTGGTAGCTAGAGTATCCCAGATAGATGCCACACTCTGACCTAGATGCAGTCTATCAGTATTTATGTTTTATACATTTTAACTACCCATGCTAAACACGAATGTTATTGCTATTATGTCAGTTTAGGATCTTTTCTTTTTAATAAAGATTTAGGTAATTATTTATACTTTATTTACCAAATAGAAATTATTTCCCTATTTTATTGGATAAGTTTGAGTTGTGTCACATTTTTGAACCATTTCTTTTTAGTAATTTATTGATTTTTTAAAAAATTTTATTCATTTATTTGACAGAGAGA